TCCACGATGTGCAGCTTGGGCAGCAGTCCGCAGTCGGGCAGCGTGAGCTGGTCGCCGTCCAGGAAGCGGCGGCGGGACTCGCGCAGCTGCGGCTCGCGTTCCAGCTCGTGCTCCCGCGGCGCGCGCAGGTAGACATCCAGCCGGCGCAGGGCGCGGAGCAGCTGCTGGTGCAGGGCTGCGGGGTTGGGGGCGGTGAGGCGCCGGCCCGGGCGCGCGCCCTCCCCGCCGGCGGCCCCCGGCCCGCTCACCGTCGTCTTGCGCGGCCACGGGGTTTTTAACGAACGCCGAGAATTTGTGGAAGACGTCGTTGCCCGCGGTGCTGGACTCCCGGTAGCGAGGCGCTAGGCTGGGGAAGCTGTGGGCGGGGCGGGCGGGACGCGCTGTCAGGCGCCTCGCGTCCACCGCCTGGGCCCTGTGGCAGCCACCCTCCCGGGGCCCATCGTGGCCCGCCCGCCGGGCCCTCACTCTGGCGGTCCCAGCGCCTCCTCCAGAAACTCCGCGATCTGCAGCGTGTCTGTCTTGGCGTCGCCGTCGAACAGCAGGATGGGCAGCTGCGAGCCGGGGGCGAAGTCCTTCAGCACGTCGGGGGACCTGCGGTACAGGAGGAGGGAGAGCCGGGCCCCGCGCTGGGGCCGGGGGGGTGGGGAGCGGGGCGGGGCGGGGGCGGGCTCACCTGCGCGCGTCCACGGTGGTGAGCGTGAACGGCACTCCCTTAAGAAGGAGGATCATGAAGAGCCGCTGGCAGGAAGGGCAGTGACCCACGCTCTCGCCATCCTCGCTCGCCTGGGTGGGCGGAGCAGGGGGTCAGCGCAGGGCGCAGCCCCAGGAATGCATCACCCGGCCGGGTGGGAGCAGATCCGGGCGGGGCGGTCAGGCAGGCTGCGCCAGGAGGCGGGTGAGGGCCCTTGAGTTGGAGAGGGCGCCCGGCTGCCAGGGCAGGCTGGGACCTCGGCCTCCCGACCCTTATCTTCAGAGCCTGGACAGTGGCCAGGCCCCTGGGCTCCAGGCCCAGTGGGCTGGCCACAGGGTGGGGTGGGCTGGCGAGCTGTTTTCTCAGTGATTCACACCACCAAGCTGGGCGTCGGGGCGGGCATCACACTGACTCTCTCACCCCGAAAGCCAAGAAGGTAGAGGCTGCCAGCCCTGACTCACACAGTCAGACCCCAAGACTAGGCCCTGAACTGAGACCCAGGGCTTGCTTGGCCCAGGGCCTTGTCTCCTCTGCTCACTGGCGGGGAGCTCTGGGGCCTCAGCCCGGTTGGTACTTCCCCAGCCAGTGCCTTTTTCTCCCAAGCACTGGGCCCAGAACCCGGCTGGCAGGGGGCACACGCTCCTTCTTTCGTGGTGACTCACTGGGGGCCTTCTCCCTCAGGCTGGCCCCACTTGACTCAGTTTACAGAGGGTGGCCTGAGTCCCTGAGCCCACCAGAGCAGGAGCGGCTCAGCCACTGTCCGGGAGACCCCCTCAGCCGTCCCCGAGAGCTCTGCCCTCTCCCCACAGCCCTGCCCCAGCCCAGCCCACTCGGCACCTTGACAAACAGCTGGAGCTTGGCGGTCTCGGCCATGGCAGGAGGCTGAGGCGGTGAGGATGTCGGCCTGGGGTGGGGGCGTGCTCTCTTTAAGGCTCCCTGGCAGCCCCGCCCTCCCTGGCCCAGAGGCCGCCCTGCCAGCCACCTAGGCAGGCGGTGAGGCTGGCCAGATGCAGAGCTGAGCTCCAGGGCGTGGCCGTGGGGGCGTGGCCGTGGGGGAGAACGGGGTGTTCGGGGCTAGCCCGTGGGGGCTGAGAGTTCAGGGCTGGAGTTCTGGTTCAGGGCAGCCAGTGGACCAAAGCCGGGGAGGGGGGACCCCCCCACCAGCTGGGGGGCACAGCTGCCCCCAGTGCCCTCTGCAGGGAGCACTTGTTAGTCAGGGCCCTGGGCCTGGTGTCTGCTTACTAGGGGAGCTGGGGATGAAGGGCCTAACCGTGGCCTCAGGTCCACAGATGCATGATCTGAGTTACAAGTGATGGGCCCTCAGAAGGGACGCACGCTCCGCAAACAGAGCTGGCGAGGCAGGGTCGCAGACAGTTCTGCAGCCCCGTTCCGGGCAGCGCCCCACCTCTAGCCCCTGGGCCGGGAGAGGGGCCTGGCTTTGGAGCCAGTGGGGAAGGCGTGCTCCACCCCGCCCGCCCACCTGTCGTGCAGGCTCAGCACAGGCCTTTTTTTCTCCTTGGACCATTTACAGAGAAGCGTGGCGTGGGGAGTTAGACTCCAGCTTGCTGGAGCCCACAGCCTGGGCACACCCGCGTGGTCCTCCACCTGGAGCCTTCGGGGAGGAGAGCAGCCAGGCTGCCTGCCGAGGCTCGGCTGCCTTCCAGTGGCCACAAACGGGGTCACCCGGCGCCCGCTCTGCCCGCCGCCTCCCCACCGAGGGTGCTGGTCCAAGCGCCTTGGGCTCCTGTCCCGGATCAAGGCCCCACAGCCAGAGTCCGCTCCTGTCCGGCAAGTGGTGGCTCCGGGCACTCGCTGGCGCGCAGGGCCTCGGGGCCATGTGATCAGACATCCTGTGGAGTACTGCGATCGGGCTCCCGCCCTGAAGCCTCTGTTGACCCCTCCACCCCGCCTCTGTGAAGTGTCCATTGGCTCCGCCTGCTGGTTTCTGCTTCCCAGACAGCCGTCAGCCCTGGGGAAGAAGCCTGAGGCCATGCACACCTGCACGTGGTCACCACCTGTGTGTGTGTGTGTGTGTGTGTGTGAGTAAAATGGCATCTTCCCATTAAAGAGTGAGCGCCTCCAGCGGTGGGCATTCCGGCGATTCCTGGAGCCTTGTTTCTCACCAACTCTTGGCAGCTTGGCTCTCTTCCTTCAGTGCCCTCGGTTCTTGGTCACGTGCCACCTCCTGAAATGGTTGGACTCCAGCAATTCTTTAGGGACAGTGACTCGGGGTGCTCCTCCCATTTTCTTCAGACGCTCCCTGCGTTATTCAGTACTTTGCCCACCTCATCCTTCCGCACTGCAATCTGAACCTCGAATTTTTTCCTCAGTTTCTCAGCCTGAGAAGTGCCGAGCGCGCTCTTCCCTTCCAGTTTTCCCGCTCCAGGTCTGCACGTTTCACTGTAGCATTTTACTTGGTAATTTTTTTTTTTGAATCTGTCCAGTTCTTTTATTTCATCATTCCTTCCATCTGCTTGTCTGCTTTCAAGAGCCAGTTTTGGCATCCCTTCTGACGTCCATTTTGGTCTTTTCTTCCTTTCCTGTGTTTTTAATGACCTGCTTTCTTCGTGTGTACCGTTCTTGATGTCATCCCACAGCGTGTCTGCTCTTTGGTCATTAGTGTTCAGTGCATCAAATCTGGCTGCAGATGGTCTCTAAATTCAGGTGGGATATACTCAAGGTCATATTTTGGCTGTCGGGAAGCTCTGGTGGTGCAGTGCCTGCGGCACTTGACTGCTAACCAGAAGGTTGGCGGTTCAAACCCACCAGCCACTCCTTGGAAGGACGGCTGGGCTATCTACTTCCATAGTGATACCACCTCGGAAAGCCAAGGAGGGGCCGCTATGAGTCAAATTGGCTTGATGGCTGTGAGTTTAGTTTTTGCTTTTGGACTTGTTTTAATTTTCTTCAGTCTCAACTTAAACTTGCACATGAGCAACTGATGGTCTGTCCACAGTCGGCCGCTGGCCTGTGACTGAAGCCACTGAGCTTCTCCATCATCTCTTT